TAGTGAATATGAGAAGAATAGGAGGGACAGCGGGGAGAGATGATCGGAGAGAAAGAGGAAAAAATATGTGGCAAATTAGATGCCCTTCATGGAACAAAAAGAAGGAATTATGAAGAAGAAAAAGAAGCTGGGACAGAAAAAGATATACATAGATCAGGACTGGACGTGGAAACAGAGGAAGATAAGAGAGGAAGTACGAAGGAAAGCGAGAGAAATAAAAAGTAAAGGTAAATAGGTAAAGATGTGGCATAACGGGGTGAAGTCAGAGGAAGAAGAATGGTGGTGGAGCGAGAAAGAGGGAAAAATGGTAGGAAAAAGGGCGAAAGGGTTTCGAAAACAATAGGGATAAAAGAGAGATAGAGGAGAGAAGGGAGAGAGAGGGAAGAAAGGCAATAAAGATACTACTCTGGAACGTGGCGGGGATGAGGAGCATGGAGGAAGACGACTGGGAATATGTTAGGGAATTCGATATAATAGGGCTGACGGAAACCTGGGTGAAGAGGCAAGGGGCAAGAACTGGTGTGGAGAAACAACTGAAAGGGTACAACATAGAGTGGAGAGACTCAAGAAGGGAAGGAAGAAGAGGGGAAGAAATAGGGGGAGGAATAATGGCGGTAAGTGAGAGGAAAGGGATGAGTAAGGTTGAATGTAAGAAAGAAAGGACAAGTGAGGTAATAGTAGGAGAAATAATGATCGGAGGGAGAAAATACATGATAGCATCGGTGTATATGCAAAACGAGAAGAAGGAAAACTATGAATACCTAAGCGAAGAGATAGAGGAGAACAGAGAAAAAACAATAATTATAGGAGGAGACTTCCACGCAAGAATAGGAAATGAAGGGAGAGAATGGGAGACAAAAGAAAACCTAGAAGAAATAAAGGCCAAGGATAAAGTGTTAAACACAGAGGGAGAAGAAATGATGAAATGGCTAGGAGAAAGGGGCTTAGTGATAACGAATGGGAGAAAAGAAGGAGATGAAGAAGGAGAAATAACATATATAGGAGCGAGAGGAATGTCAACGATACACTATGTAGTAGGTAACGAGGAAGGTGATGAGGCGATAAAAAGGGTTTAAATAAAAGAGAGGGTAAAGTCGGACCACTTACCAATAGAGGTGGAATTGGGAGACAAAATAGCGGAAGAAAGAAAGGAAGAGGAAGAAAGAATGATAGACGACTGGAGCGAAGAAGGTATAAGGGAGTATTAGAGATGGATAGACGCAATAGAGGGAACAGAAAAATGGAAAGAGATAAAAAATAGAGTGAAGAACGCAGTTGTAAAAAAGAAGATAAGAAAAAAAAAGGATCGAAAAAAAGCTGGTGGAGAAAAGAAGGTAAGATAAAAAGGGCTAGGGTGATGGCAGAGTTAAATAAGGTAAGAAAAGGGGAAGGAGACAGAGGCAAATACCTAGAAGCAAACAGAGAATACAGATAGGAAATAAGAAAAGCAAAAGAAGATGAGGGGAAAAGAGTGGAAGAAGAAATAAGAAAAAATATGACGAGAAGAAAATTCTGGGATAAAGTAAATGGCAGTAGGAAGAAATGAATTGAGTTAGATGAAAATATAGGAAAAGAAGAATGGTTAAAGCACTTCGAAAAACAACTGGGAGAGAAAGAAAAGGAAGAAAGCAAAGGGGAAGAAACCGAAGACAGCGAAGGAGAGGAAGGTGAAGAAATTAAAGAAAGAGAAGTAAAAGAGGTAATAAGAAAAATGAAAAAGAAAAAGGCGACAGGAGAAGATGGTATAGCAAATGAAGCGTGGATGGAAGGCACGGAAGGCTTGATAAAAGACAAAATGCTTAAACGGAATATGGAACGGAGAAGGATATCCGGAAGAATGGAGGAAGGGAATAATAGTATCAATATATAAGAAAGGGAGGAAAGAAAAAGTAGGGGAATAACGCTGATGGACACGGGATATAAAATATATGCGGAAATACTGAGGAAAAAGCTGGAAAGAGAACTACAAGCTAAAGAAACGCTAAGCGATACGCAGATGGGATTTAGGAAGAAAAGAGGAACAATGGACGCAATATATATATTAAAAACAATAATAGGGAAGGAAATAAGGGAAAAAGGAGGAAAACTGTTTGTATTCTTTGCCGACATGAAGGCCGCTTTTGACAAGATAAAGAGGAAGAAAATATGGGAAACAATGAAAGAGAAAGGGATAAATAGAAAAATTAGGAAAAGAATAGAAGAAATATACAAGAAAACAGGGAGTAAGGTAAAAGTTGAAGGAGAAATAATTGGGGAGTTTGAGACTTACAAAGGCGTAAGGCAAGGGTGCCCTTTGAGCATCACGCTATTTAATCTTGCCTTCGCCGACCTGGAAGTGAAGATCAAGCAGGTGCAGGAAGGAGGGGTAGTGATAGGAAGGAAGAAAATATGGACATTAGGATATGCAGATGATATAGTGATGATGGCAAAGAGCGGAAGTGGAATGAAAGCAATGCTGAAAAAATTAAAAAGATACCTGGAAGAAAGGGGATTAGAGTTAAATGTAGAAAAATCAATGATGATGATATGCTGGAGAGGAGGAGGAAGGGGAAAGGAAGAAGAATTCGAATGGGAAGGTGAGAAGATAGAGATGGTTTAAGAGTTCTTGGGATATGTGATAAGCAGAAATAACGGAAATAAAAAGCAGATAAAGAAGGTAGAAGGGAAAATAAATATGGGACTCGGAAGACTATGGGGGCTAGGAGAAAAGCTATTTGAAAAAATTGGGAGCTAAGGATGAACCTGTTCGATGCACTGGCGAAAAGCGTGATTATGTATGGAGCAGAAATCTGGGGATAGAAGAGATATGAAGAAATAGAGACTTCAACTAAAATACATAAAGTGGGTATTAGGATTAGATAGAAACACGCCAAGTTACTTAATACGATGGGAAACATGAAGAAAAGAAATGAAAGAAACAGCATTAGAAAGAGCAATGAGGTATAAAAACAAAATAAGAGAAGAAAGAGATGGCTCAATAAAAAAAGAAGCTTGGAGAGAACTAAAGAAAAGGGAAAGAAATGGAAAAGATAAAAAGGGTAAGAAGGAGGAGAGAGAGGAAATGTGGGAAGAGTTTAGGGAATAAACAAGAGATGAGCTAAAGAAAAAAGAAGAAAAAGAAATAGAAGAAAAACTATAAAAATCAAGATACATAAACGAGTGGAAATAACTGAAAGAAGAAATGAAAAGGTATAGGTTAAAGAAAATTCAAGGAGAGGGAAGAATAAAAGGCCTACAAATAAGGGAAAGGTTTAGGTTAGGTAATGAAACGAGAGGAAGCAGGTATTGGAAAAAAGAAGAAAATAAGAGATGCTGAATGTGTATGAAAGAGGAAGAAAATTGGAAACACATAGTAGAAAAATGTGAAAAAAGCAGAAAGGAAGGAGAAGAATGGGAAAAAATAATAATAGGAAGCGAAGAAAAGATAGCGTGGATGATGGAGATAAAATGGAAAAGAAGAAGAAATGAAGAGAAGAATGAAAAAGAAAAACAAGAAGACGAAACTGAAAGACCTTAAGGAGAGACGGAAACAGAAGACAGAGAAGCAAGACTCGCAGACACATCTACATACACACATACACACACATACACACAAAACACGCACACACGCGCAAACATAAACATACACATGCACACACACACACACACACACACAAAACACAAGTACTAGCAACTACACAAGCGAGAGGAAGCAGGTATTGGAGGATGGAGCAAAATGGAAAAGAAGAAGAATCGAAGAAGAGAAATAAAAAGGTAAACTAGAAGGCAAATCATAAGATACTAAGGAAAAATAAGTGAGGTTGAGGAAAGGAAGGGCAGAGGGAGCAAAAGGATATAAGTCCTAATAAGGAGAAAGATAGATGAAATGATTAGCAAGAATGAGAGCAAAAGCAAAGGAAAGGCAAAGGTGAAAAGACAAAAGAAAGTAACAAAGGAAAAAGTTGAAAAGAAAATATGAAAGAAAGAGAAAAACAGAAGAGCGGAAAGGCAGATCTTGGAGAGAGAGAGAGAGGAAGATAAGATTAATCAACAGAAAAATAGGAAGAAAAGAGGAACAGACAGGCGCAGAAGACAGAGACACAAGAGTTGCAGACACACCTACATACATACACACATACGCAAAACACATACATCATCAACTACACAAACACAAACTGGACACGAGACATAAATAGTAATGTAAGAAATAAAAAAAAACCAAATGTAACATAAGTTGTAAATAAAAAATATATATATTGTAAGGGCGAGTAATTTAAGTTTATTTGTCTTTCCGTTTCTTTTTGTGTGTTCGTATATTGTAAGAATTCCGTTATATTCATTAGTGTTTAAGGTTTATATAAGTGTGTGTCAATATAATTTAATAAATGATTTAGTGGTTTTCTAAAACGCGATATCAATTTATTTCCTGACCCTTTTCCTTCCCCCTCCGCGATTGCCCACCCAAAAATTAGTGACGATGCAAATTCGTTACAAAATCAATTGAAAATATAAGATACAAATGAATTGACAGCGTTTTTTACTATATAGCGTTAAAGATGAGGCCTGCAATGGCTCGGTCGGTAGGGCGACGGACTCGCACCCGGTAGGCCCGGGTTCGATTCCCAGTTCCTGCTGATACAAGCACCTCTGAAAAAAGTTTCATGTGCTTTGTTCTCAAACACATTGCAAGCCTCCGTCGCTAATTAGCACTGATGGAGCATAAATAGAGCGACGTTAAAATAAAAAAAAAAAGAAAAAAAAAAAGCGTTAAAGATAAATTAAAAATTTTCTGAAGATTAAAAAAATTACAATTTTGTAAAGGCTGTTGAAAATTAACAATTCATGAATCCAAAAAAATTAGTATAAATTTAAAAAAACTAACTCTGTAAATTATACTTAAAACAATTATAAAATATCTTTCTCGCAAAAAAAAAAAAACTGTATTCTAATCTCCAAAATATACTGATATCAAATTAACACCACTAGACTTAGTTGAACTGTGAAGGAAATGATATACTTACGTTTCTCTTTTTAGCATGAACAAAATAGAAGTTAATGCTTCGGCATGGATTTGATATTCTAAAGTGGGTAAAATAGGCAAGGTGCATTCAATAGAAAAATTGTGAGCAGAGATTAGCTGCCAGAGGCAATACTGTTCAAATGTTTCCCAATCTAAGCTGAAGGTAATAATTGTTATTGAATCATCCTCTTTCAACATTTTCAAATGACCTTGAATTATCCAACAAATTAAATCTTGCAACTGCGAGGAATCTACTGTCGAAATAACTAAATGGAGAATTCGTATGTGTCCAATTACGAAGTGTGGGAAGGCCATGTAAACATCAGGTATTAAAAACCATAACATAGAAATATCGTTATCGTGGCAACGCTGTAAAAAATAGTATATTTTTTAATATATCGTATATTCACTGCATGATAGACTAAGTTCTTTTGTACGTACTTTTAAATCTTCAAATAAACAGTCCTCTAAATTAACTTCTCTTTGGGAACAAAAATCGCTGTATACTATTATTTTCGTTCGATTTATGTCACTGCAACAAGAAATCATTATAATGTTCACGTTCAATATATTTTTATAAATGAGTTACCATTATTAATTCAATTTACTTGGGAACTACGCTACCCTTCAAATGTTCTTGGACACCCAACACAAAAATCGACAGAGATAAAAAGTGTTATCACTCGGCACCCAAAAGTCGTATCTCAAAAAATCAACAGACATTTGCAAAACAACGTAAATTTTTTTTAAAAACGCTATTATTAACTTCCAAAATTTGAAATTTTAGTTTTTCAAATTAATAAAAAGAGATAAAAAATGTAAATAATTTCATCTGATTTTAAGAGATTGTGTATTTAGATCCCATAGACGGAAAAAATTGTTTGCAGGTTTGAAAGAGAATTTCTTCAGCTTTAAAATGAGAGGTCGAGAACTTTTTGCCGATAACTTTTTTTTAGAGAAAACAGGGCTTTTCTTAAAATTTGAATACATAAAAAAATAAAGAAGATAGAAAAAAACTTTAAATAGAAAAAATATCTAGTTTTATCTAAAGAACAAAGATTATAAATCTGTGAGTCTATAAAACTTAACATGTTACTACAAAATGAAAACTGTGAAAAAGATAGCAATTATTCCGAACATGATGACAAATTTTATTTTTTCAGATTTTAAATATTGCAAAATACATTATCGAAGAGTAATGTTTTGGAAAAATCGGGCGCCTCAATTACGAAATCAATATGGATTTTATAACGAGTTCATTTCTAAACTCGTTACGTCTCTCTCTACCTTCATATAATCCATATCATTTATATAAATTATGTCGATATCCTCTATATGCAATTATATAAGTATTCGACGTAGCAACAGCCAACGCAGTCAAAAGGTAAGAGAGCAACAGAGAGTCGCGTTAGAGAGAAGTAGAAAGAGAGAGCGATATGCCCGAAAATATGCATCGCGCTGAGGGCGTCTTGACCGGTCAAGACCCGTGTGACTGATCCTCAGGTAAGAGTGGGGACACCGCGAGCGACAATTGGCTGTTCGACTCGAAGCCGCGAACGCGTGTCGATTGACGCGCTGCTTTTGAGGCCTTGCCGATATCGTATGGCTTTTTGCCTTGCCATCGACGCCGGCTTCCGATAGCCTCTAGGTGAATAGAGTGTGCGTATGCGGTGTGTGGAGAGTACAACGCGGGTTTGATACGAGGATAGCGAGTCGTTGTTGCATCAACGAATTTCAACGCACGAGCGCTTGAAGAAAGCATGGTCAAGGAAAATGTAAGTATCTCCTCGTACTTTGTCTCACTCTCGGTTTGCTTGCTTTCTCTCTCTCACCCTGCGCTGCTTTATTAACCCGCATTGTTATAATTCTACATTTGTTCTATTTATAATTTCATTTATACAAACAGCAGTTATACTAGTTACGCATTCTTTTATCTCGTCTGACTCTTGTTCTTTTCCTGTGCTAATTCCCTTTGTACTTGTTATTCGCTATTTTTCTTACATCTACCCACAACGCTCTACGCGGGCCATGAGATAGCATTGATGCAGACAACCAGGCTCGGCCAAGCACGAGCCATTGCACAAACCTGGTGGAAAATCAAGCATAGTATCGCCAAGGCTAATCTTATTCATAATAATTTTCTCTCTATAACGCACTGAATCTTATAAACCGTTATAATTTATTAATTGTATTAATCGAGTTTGCTTCTAATAATATAAGAACGCATTTTTTTTCTTTGGTATGGTATATTCATGACATGCATCAATTTTTAAGCACCACTTTTGTTTAACCGTGGCGCGCACATATCAGCCCTTCTCATCGCTCTCCACTCAAAGCTGTACATATATACTTCCAAACCATGCTCTATTTGTTGATCTTTGAAACTAACTATCTACTTACATAATTATCGAGAAAAAAACGACATTTTTCAAGACGAATTAGGAAATACGAATTTCCTTTAATGTTTTTGAATTGCCTAGTGTAATAAAGGATTATGTATTTGTGTATTATTAATAAATAATCTGTAAAACTTTTGAATTTATGAAAGATTGTTATTCAAAGTACAATATCAAATATTTTATGTTTTATCTCGTTTAATCTCAAATAATAATAGAAAAATAGGCCCATAACTACTGAATAAAATTATTGCTATGTGTTGTAAAATTTACACTTAATATCAAATTGTGAGATCGAAGTCTTTCAATAGTGCAATAGCAGTAGAATACTAAATAGTCGGTGTAACTTTTGATTTTTACATACTTTTTAAAACGCGAACTATACACTCTTTGTAAAGTATACTTTAAAAAAGTAATAACTTTGATTACAACAATACACGCACGCTCACATAAATTCGACAGACGAAAGATACCAGCTGAATAATTTCACAGCATCGAGTTTAAATAGTGAGGAAAAGAGTGAAAAAGGTAAGTGACAAAAGAAGAAGAGTAGTTAGTAGAGCTAGAGCTAGCAATACGTAAGAACAAGTGATTAACCGTCTTTATTTAGTAATCTAGTAACTTTAAGTTATAGCCATGCAAATTACAACAGAATCTACGAGTGTAAAGAAAAAAGTGTACCCGTACCGAACTGTGCTTAAGCAGTCAATGAATAAAACGTTGCGCATAGTATTAATCACTTAGATACGGACATTTGTTGAAAGCTTAACCACCCAACGTAGCTAACCAGCAGGATGTCTGTCGGCCATGGCATCCGGGGCGGCACTCTCCGAACGCAGAAGAATCAGTGTTACCACAGCAATATCTGAATCCTTAGTTATGTGAGTCCCAGATCTTTTTCTTCTCTCTAATGATGGTATGATCGGTTGAAGTGACAATATCCATCACAAAGTAGGTATCACCTAAATTTTCGCGATTATTAAGAGGCGAAATAGCATATGTGCGAGAACGTAGATGCGAAAATAATGGGCGAGTTACTGTTTCTAGTACGTTGTTTCAGTGAACTTTGCGAAAACATATGTACCAGCAAACTATCACGACCAATAATATGCCAATGCAGCCACAGATGTCTAAAGATCACTAACGAAGATAGCTTGTCATGATGGAATCGCCATCTATGAATCGATGAGCGGATTGAACTTCCATCACCGTCATCTCAGTAACATTCCCTTTGCGGCGACGGCTTAGTACCTTTCACTCTCATTTATAACAAGACACGTACATTATCTCCGGATGTGCAAGATAGCTAGCAATTCTGCTGTTAACTTATAATCACAATTGCATGTATTCGATGATCGCTTCAGTATCGGTACATTGTGGTTATGAATTCGTGCGGGTCATTCGTACCGAGTGGTTTCATAAAGCGCTTCTAATATCCGTAACTTTCTTAACGTACGCAGATCTTTCATAATTTTATAGTGTTAAAAAATATCTGATTGATTTATATATTTATGATGAATATCATATTATAGAGTATTATTCATTTATTGCTCCCTTCACTTCTCACGTATATTTGTGTGTGATTCAATAATCCAATGGAATCTTTATGGCTAAAGTGCATTTGTTTATTTTGAGCCCACCATTAAAAAGTAGTTAACGTGGAACCTTGGCACATTTGAACTAACAGTGGTTTAAAATCTGTTTTTTTCTTTATAAGTGGTAAGTTGTCACGAGTTCTCTCCCGTTGCCGAAGAAAATGACGAATTCTTTATAGATCGGGGCGCGGAAGGCCAAGCTGCTTCGCGGGAGACACAAAAGGCAACGTTTCGACGCGCGCAAAAGGGAATAGACAGGAATGGTCAGCACAATAATTACTCGAAATTCGTTTAATACATATATTTATCTACACATTTCAACAGTTACAATCGGTAATTCTACGTCACAATAATCGCGCTCTCGCACTACCGCAGCCGCGAGTTCTTGCGGAAAATCGCACGGAACTCGGCTGGTGCGACGGTTACGAGCTATTCTCCGCGTTTATCCATAGGCCCTCGAGCGAAATAACCGCTGAGCCTCCCTATCCTCGCGGGTTGCCGGCGACGCGATCTTACGAAAGAGAGAGAAAACTTGACCAACCTTAAGGAAAAGCTTCTCGGTGTCCCTTGGTTGTAGAGATGTTGATCGCTCGTTCGCTCTTTCTCGAACACAAGTCCAGTGACGAACTGTTGCACTAGTTGCACACGCGTCGCAGAAACAAATCTCACTTACTTTCGCATAGGCCAAGAATCAATCAATTGCCAAGACGGCGCGGACAAAGCGTGTCGCACTCAATAGCTGTCGCAATCTACTGCCTGGCACCGAGCGTCTCCCACCAAAAACCCTTGAATAGCGGACAATCGGAGGCAACTCAGGCGTGCCAACCCTGCCGGCTTCCAAACCATACTTCTTGTTCTCTCTCGCTCTTTCTGCCACCGGGACGGGAGAGACGTTGACGGAGCCAACGGCGCGAGCCGTGGCTCTCGTCACATCCCCCCCCCCCCAAGGCTAACGGTTGCAGTCGAACGAAGCCTGACCTACGTCTCGACCAGCTTCACCACGCCAAGCCCACGACGACAACAAAACCTGACAAAGATCTAACAACAACCATGCCCACTCAATCTCCATCGCTCCCTACATTCTCCCTTTCGCACGCTTCTTCAGAGCGCATCCACTCTTCGCTCGAAAAAACGAAGCCGAAGTTTTCGGAGTTCGGCCTCGGTCGGCAAACCACGGTGTCCCTCCAGTGACACCGGCTGCGGGATTTGTCGCATGACGGGCTCCGCAGGATCGACCTCCATAGCCCCGGGAGCAATGACACCTGCATCGCCCTCGTGAGAGGGCGTGCGACGACGGTCATGCTCCTCGTGACACTCGAATAGGCAGGCCAGGCGGCTCTGCTCGCGGTTCTCCTCACGGATTCGCGTGGCGGAGTCGCCGGCATCAGCTATCTTTTGTTGCTGTCTCTGTAAATACAGCTGGTATCGGGCACGCTTCTTCTTCCCGGCCCGACAACACTTCCGTCAAGATACTTTAGCAGCCTCTGCCTCCCCCGGTGGCAGCACAACGCTGGTAACTGGCGCGTTCTCAACGAGCGCGT